GGAAAACTGCCAAGAGATGAGATTTAGCCTAAGGAACAAAAGTGGGCTATGAGGGTGATACGTGGCAATCCACATGACTAATTTAAATGTACCACCAGCTGAGGCAGATAGAGTATAGAGGGTTGGTCTATAAAAAAAAATCTTAAAAGGTCAACCTAGTGACATAAGAGGGAAAAGAGAAAGACCATGGTGTATGCCATTTCATAATCAAGTTGTTAAAGCAGAGTATGTTTTTAATTCTCTCAATTATACTCAGGAATTCAAATTTTTTCTCAGAGGAACTGGAGATTCAGAATATTAAGTTACTCCAGAGACATCACACCCCACTGCTGATTAAATACCTGCTACATGAATGTTTCCCAAGAACTTTAGATAGTAAAAGCTTGGGTGTAGAGCCAAGCCAACTGCGTTCAGGTTTCACCTCTACCACTTAACATCTGCTCGCATTATATAACTTTTCCATGTCTCGGTTTCCTCATCTACAAGAGGAGGATAAAAAGAGGGATTATAAGAAAAATTTAATGAATACATAGGTATGACACTTAGCAACTTGCAGTCATAAGTGCCACATCAGTGTTGGATAGTAGACTTTGCAGCCAGCATTCCCATGAGCCAGGACAAATAGTCTTCTCCCTTAAACTCAATTTAGCCGTTTCTTCATTTTTCATACATTTGTAATCCTTCCTCTTTTCCACCCCCAACCAAGCCTTCCCAATTTAAAACAATCCTCCTGGGACAGGTGAGCTTTGAAATGAAAATGGGAATGAATTTTCAGGGTTTTCTCAGCAAGGTTGCCCAAACTTCAAGGTAAGAAGTAGCAGGAGGCGTGATTCCCTCACAGGAGCACCTGCTACCTAGAGCACAGTGAGAATGGGTGCCCTGTGGAGCTGATCAATATGCAGGCCCGGGTTCTTATTAAGTGTACAGATTACCAGACCTCTCTCCTGAAAATTGATTCAGGTGGTCAGGGTTGAAACCCAGGAATCTATACACTGAATGAGCATTCTATGCAATTCTTGAGGGAAGTTTGAAAAATTTTGTAGTAGAGGTAGAATATAGAAAGTTTTGGGTGACAGAATGGGTAAAGACAAAATTAGGGGCTGACCTCAAGGAAAAGTGGAAAATCTCAAGCAAAGATGATCTTGAGTAAATTCGTAAGAAATGGTCCAGTAAGAGGAACAGGTAAGGAAGGACTCAAATACCAAGAGTAAGACATGGCCACTGTAGAGCAGTTTCTCTTTCAGGATGAGGTTTAAAGTCAACTCTTAGAAGGCATCTAGAAACTGGAAGTACCCTTTCTTGGACACTTTATCAGGTTTCCATGGTGGCATTGTCCAAAACCTAAGTAGCTAGGTTGCCCTGGAGGCAAGCATGATGGTCAAATAGAAGTTGCAAAAATAGAAACCAAAGTTGGAAGAAATTCAGTGATTCAACTCCCTTGAATCCCTTCCTTGAATCCACTTCTTTGAGTCTCTTGAATCCCTCTGCCTTGGCGTCATATCACTGCTTCTCAGCTGTGGCCATCTATTAGAGTCACCTACAGAGCATTTTCTGAACTACTTTCCAGACCCTACCCCAGGATCAATTAAAGCAGAACCCTCAGAAGGGGGCCCTGTCACTGGCACTCTTACCATTCAACTCCACAAGTAGTTTTCAAATGAAGAACATTAGCACATTAGAATCACTTGGAAGTATTCAAAAACTGCTAATGCCCGAGACCCAGTTTCGGGGGTTACCATTTAACTGGTCTTAAGTGTAGCTTGGTAACCAGAAATGTTTAGAAGTGCAACAGTTATTTACAATGTGCAGCCAAGGTTGAGAAGGACTCAGTCACACTTGCTTTTTTTTTTTTAATCAACTAAAGAACAGACCAGTTTGTGGAAAATCAGGTGCATTTTGAAGTTTAAATCCATGGGTCTGTGTTGAGAGAAAACAGCGCAACAGTAGGGTTTGCATAAGGAGACAGACCCTGGTACCAGCCTTCTTTCTTCCCTGAGAGGTAGCCAGCCCACTGTTCAGAATATACCTGCATTGTTCTGATCTTTTAATTTTTCCTTAAGTTGTTTGGATATAGCAGAGACATTTGTCTCTGTGATCATATGTGACTACTCGATTGTCAACTTCTAGAAGTCGAAGGTCTCCTGGGTTTAAGAATAGTGGGGGTAATATGTAAGAGTTAAAGATTAAGCCTCCGTAATCTGTGTACTCGTAGGTTCAGTATCATTGGTGTCCGATTGACTTAATAGTAAAGGAGGGGTTATTGATTTCGTCTGTTAGATACAGGATGTGCAGGCATGGAAGGGCGATCAGGACTAGGATGATTGCGGGTAAGATAGTTCAGATGGTTTCTATCTCCTGGGCATCATAGATGATCCATTTATGGGCCCTCTAAGTCAGTAATTTCTTAATGTTCAAGGTGAAACAGCTCTATATAAAATGGCATATCATGGTGGATATAAACACCAACATGCAATCTCCACTTAGAACTCTACCAGAGTTTTTCTGTTGTCCTGAAAATGTAAGCCACCCCAAAGCCAATCTGTGATTTTACAGACATTTCCTGTTAATTGCACTTGTCAATTGATGAAAGCATAGTTCAGGGGAAGTGGTGATCATACAGATTGAATTCATGGAATTAACGAACTCTATAGAAAGGCACTTTTCTGATGCCTTATGGTGACCTTTCTGGGATGTAATGTGATTACGTGGATTAAAAAATAAAATAGTACAGAATGGATACATCCAAAAAATACTTAACTGGTAGCCATTAACTCCTTTTGGCATTGCTGCAGAGTCCATGGCACGTTCTTTTAAATGTCACTATTATTGAGAACTCTGTGCCTTGAAATATATGCAAATTCATAGTCAAAAGTAATCTAAGCCAACTCTTTTGAAGAGGGCAAGTTGTCAAAAGGGAGTAGTCCATTTAGTTCTGAAACTTAGAGATCAAAAAGACCATGGGTAAAACATTAAGTAAAAATCAATACACATAGGTTTTCAAAAAATTGGGGGAAAGAATGAAGGGATAATGAAAGGAGGGAAAGAACGAAGGGAAAGAAAAAATAGAAAAAGGAGAAAAGGAGAAAAGGAAGGAGAAAAGGAAGGAGAAAAGGAAGGAGAAAAGGAAGGAGAAAAGGAAGGAGAAAAGGAAGGAGAAAAGGGTAGGAGAGGAAGAAAGAAGGAAGGAAAAAGGGTAGCTTAAGTGCATAGTATCAAAAAGAATGTTTTCAAGGACACAATCTTACAGTAAATTCTGAAACAATTTAAAAAACCAAGCCTAGTTTCTTACAGGGCTGTTTCTAATCATACTGGCAGGTTGCACTTTAAAAGTTCCGTTTGTTCAGTCACAGTTTTACATATATTTTGTCTCCAAGTAGCTTTCCTCATGTCTAGCACACTGGACAGTTCCTTAGGGAAAATTGCAGAAAGGGAACACAAGCTAGCAATCTCATCTAGGATTAGGGAATAGAAATTGGGTAGAGCTGCCCCACCCTCCTGCCACAGATATGTGAATGCCTAGTGCGAAGACCTTGCCCCTTTGGATAAACCAGGTCGCCATTCTTGCTTATGGTAGCATTCTTCTTGTGAGCATTCTGTAAATAGAGGTTATTCTAACTGCTTGTTTTGTGCACCCCAGAATACCATACCTGTAGTTAGGAATTCCCGTGTTATTACCCCTTGTATAAGCCAAAGGTGAGTAAATCAAATATTCAACAAAAATATCTCGTTTTTCAGGGATATTAAATTTTATTGCTCCTCAAAACATAGGAAAATCCAGGGCCAGATATTCACAGGGTTCAAAAAGCCTAACAAAAAGATAGTCCAAAATCTTATGATGTTAACTTTTGTCTTAAGCGATAAACTTAGTTGTGACTTGTTATGTAGAAGTACTAAAAATGCTATTCTCAAAGCATGTATAATTTGTTTATATTTTATTGGCGTAGAAATGATTCAAGTTTAACTGAATGTGAAATTCTAGGGAATATTCAAAATGGCAGCTCTATATTCCACGGTGTACCTTTTGCAACAGTAAAACTTTCTTAAGATGTTTTAAGAAATGTTCAATCACTAGATACCTTTTGAAGCACTGAAACATTTGAAAAACAACCAATCACTCTAAGAAAAAAAAAAATGCGTTTATCTTGGTTCTTGATGATCCATAGGCATGGTAAAGATGTAACCAGTGAAAACCCAGAGCTCCTGTACTGCTGCTGTTGAGGCATTTAAGAACCTAGGCAACCTCATTGTGCCATTTTTATAATTTGCCTGATACAGATGATCTTATTTCTAGAGGAATAAGTAGTACCCCTGAATTAGAACACATTGCATTGTGGAAATGTCACAGTTGGAAACATCTTAAGATAGTTTTATCATCTTTCTGGATTTACTAAACGTAAAATAGCATTTTCTATTTTCATTCTTTTTAATACTGCATCATTAAAAATAATTTGGACAGATAGGGTTTATTTCAATTGAGTTATCTTAACTTTATGTAGCTAGCCTGGTTTGATGAGGAAATTATTACCCATAACACATCACCATATAAAATTGTCTTCTGAAATGACAGCACTTTCTTAAATTTTTTTTTATATAAGTCTAGAATTTTATAATTTTTTTAGCTAGCTGTAGTATACTGTATTTCCTAATCAGTAGTCTCATTTTAAAAAGTAATCTCTTTAGCATAGAAATTCATATAAGCACAATTTGAAATGCTTTAGCGCCTTAGAAACATACTCTGGCATGTTTTGGTAACACATAGTATTAATATTTGGTGGAACAGCTTGTACTTGGTCCATATTCTGACATTACCATGACTTTAAGAGGTCCCCGCATGCTTATTTCATGATCTTTCTAAACTGAGGTACATCAGCACATTTCCTTGCAACATCCATTCACAAGCAGCACCCTTCCCTCCCCTCATCTGTACACATCAAACCAATTGGCAGAGAGCACATTTCCCCCTGAGCGAGCAGTATTGTGAATTTTATCTTCTCTTCCAGAAATCAGTTCGTCTTCGTTGCAGCAGATGAAATTTCTTGTAACACCTCTGCAGGTAACAAACATTGCTACTTCTTGATGCATCCATCCAAGTCTCAGTATCCTTTTTTTTTTTTTTTTTTTTTTCCTTCTTCACATGCTGCAGTTGGTCACTCTAGAAAGTTTAAAAAAAAGTTCTTATCTCTTTGGAGTACAGCTGAAACCTTGAGGCTCTGCCATGTAAGACATTAGGCATTTTGCTAACTTTGATGTTTTATTTCTGGTTTTAATAATACATGGTCCAGGAAAGTAAGACGATGTTGAATGAATCCACAAGAAAATCTAACAGTATAATCAGTGCTCTTATGGTGAAATACGGAACAGGGAGATTAGGTACACAGACGTATGACTTCCATGTTTTTTGACGTATTATGTCTGGGTTAACAGAGATTGATGTGTGAATTATTTGGGATCTTTATGGAATATTAGAGGCTGTAAAAGACTGAATCTATAAAGCTAGAGGCATTCGAGAATATAATTATCTCTGTCTTATAAGAAGGGGATCTTCATTCTATTAGCCAAAGATCCTCTATTTCCTTTCTTGTAAAACATCTTTCAAGTAGCAGAACTTAGACCAAGTCTTTTGGTTTTGAAACCAGGACATTGGCAAATGGAAATTGAATAGCTGCATGATGTATCTGTCAAAATAACACCTGTCTTTTTTCTTTCACGTGGTTCAGAACAGTTAAATTTGTACTTTCATTAGTGTGGAATTACATGCCAAGATAGGTGAGTGCCTTAACACTAGATTTTTCCTTTTGTTTTTGTTTTTTTAAGCCTAACCTATGACCAAAACAATCACTACGAAGTCTTGCCAATGCAGTGCTTTCAGCCTGCGAGGGAGGACGTTACAACTTATCACTACATTACTGAGCATCCCATGACCTTCAGACACATACATTAAACTGAATCTTAGAAATAGACACTCATCTGTTACCTCTTATCAATGGTGCAGTAAAGAAAGGGTTATGTACCAATGTTTCACTCCCTATTTACCGCCTTTGATGAGAATAAATGAATGAAAGGAAGCACAGAGAGCTAGGAACATGCACCCAACCATCTCTGTTCTAAAAGGCAGGGTCAGTTTTATTGATATGGTCAGCCTCAGCCTTTATAACGGGTTTAAAGTCTTACCCGGTGAGTTCAAGAGGTATGCATGATGCATGCTGACATTTTAAAGCAATGGTATACTCTATTTCTATAAAACCCCTTTGATAGGTCCTGCAATTTCCCTCTTAACCCCTAGAATTCATGTCTCTGCTTCTCACTGTGAGAGGTGGCGACATCCTTAACACTTGACTAATGCCCAATGCTAGATGCAATGGTTAATTGAATTGCTGGCAGTGGCAGGGGAATGTTCCCGCAATACAACAGTTGTTTAACATTTTCAGAGCCTTAGTGGAATGGAGCATGCAACGAAAAGGGAGACTGCTTGGAATGGGAGGTAGGGGTGGGGAATAATGTTAATTTAAAATGTACATAGGCATCATGTGTAGATGCCTCAGTGCACTAGAGCTTCTGCCTTCTGTTAACCCCTCTGCATGTTCCAGGTTCCAGTATGTTAGGTTATATTTGGACATCTTAGATCAAACATGAAAAAGATTGATTTTTGCCCCGTGACTTAATAATCCCTGCCTTGTAAGCAAGTGATCCACACACAGTATCTCTAAAAAAGGCAACAGAAAATGAAAGTTTGCCTGAGTGTGGTGTTTCCATCTACCTAATCTAGATGGCTGCTCAGCAAATTCTTAATGAATTGCGATTGATCACCTTTCAGATTGAGATATCCCTGTTCCTTCGATGGCCATTTTAATGATGTTTATGCTTCGTAAAGGTTCCATTTGAACTCTGAATTTTGAATGAAGCATGAAAAAGGAGACACCCATATCAATCAAATGTCAGATTATCTCCCAACAAGTTCACTCTCCTCATAGAGCGAAAATGAAAAATCATAACGGCTCAGTCAACAAAGGTTGTAACTTGTGGTTTCAATGAAACCCTTCTAGGGCATCTCCTACACGCTAAAAAAAAACCTGCTTTGGGAGGCTGAGCTGGGTGGATCATAAGGGTCAGGAGTTCAAGACCAGTCTGGCCAACACAGTAAAACCCCATCTCTACTAAAAATACAAAAATTAGCCTTGTGTGGTGGGGTGTGCCTGTAATCCCAGCTACTCAGGAGGCTGAGGCAGAGAATTGCTTGAACCGGAGAGGCAGAGGTTGCAGTGGAAAGAGATCGTGCCACTGCACTCCAGCCTGGGCGAAAGAGCAAGCCTGTCTAAAAAATAAATAAAATTTTAAAAAACGGCTGTGCCCATTACCTACATTCTAAACAGCACTACTGTAAATGAGGTCTCACCTCCTTATAAAAACATTTACTTAGGGCAGGTTTATTGAATCCTACTATCTACTGGATATAAGAGTTTGACAAAAGACAAGTTCTTTTTTTAAATGGAGAACAAAAAATCAACATGCTTAACATTTCAGTGTGGGGCTTGATGGATGTTATAACTGAAATTTGTATAAAGAGGTGTTATTGTCACATTGATACCCGTGGTGGATGGGCTAAGCACAGGCAGTTGTCTGGGGCTTAGGGTGGAGATGAGATGAAAATCATTGAGTAGTACAGCAGCATTTCAGGATTTTTTTCTTCCAGCTTTCCAAATAGTGATACCTTTTACATGGGTCTTTTGTTGAGTGCGCCAACATGTCTGGTCTGTTTTTTGTAGCTACATAGAATAGCCATTTTGCATTAACATTTGTGATCTATGAGACTATCATCTTTACAAGGATATTTTCTGACCCAAGGGTTTCAACAATGGTATTTGTTTTGTTTTGGTCCGAAAGAATGTGTGCTCTGTTGGGTATCACTTGGGACTAAGCTTTTAACAGGGTAGGACACCTCCTAATGCATCCAGCTTGCACACTTGAGTAGTTTCTCATTCGGTAATGTCAAGAACTTTTGATGAGTTGGATTCTGCCAGAGATGGCGAAAAGGGGGAAAATTATTTTCCCTTCTTAGACAGGAAGTCTCCCCTCTGTGATTCATTATGACTTTTCCAGGGTGGGCTAGTGATGTAGTAGTTGTAGAAGAAGGATCTGGTATGAGAACAGAGGCTGAAAAACAGGTTACTTGTTTTGATCAGTGACTAGAAATTCATTTTAGTTGATTAATATCTTGAGTCATTGCTGGGTGTCAGGAACTGTTCCAAAGCCCTGGGGACATAGCATTGAGTGAGTCAGAAGCCCTCATCAAAAGACCTTCATTGTATTGGAGAACAGATCCCAAACCATGTATATGAATAAGCAGATAATACACATGCATAGTAAGTTGTGAACTTACTATAATGAATGAAAAAGCAGGGGAGGAGATGGAAAGTAAGGTGCAATGGTATTTTAGACTCAGTGATCAGAGAAGGCCTATCTGAGGGGGTAACATTTGAGCAGGGATCTACATAAAGCGAAGGTGTGACCCATGTAACATATAGCAGGTGCAAGACCCTGTGGTTGAGGCATACTTGAGGTGTCCAGGAGTAAGACCATCCAGTATGGTCCACGGACGAGTACAGGTGAGTTTTATAGATAACATCTAGGAGGTAGCCAGGGTCAGAGCAAGTTAGGACTTGGAGGCCACAGAAAATTTGGGGGATTCTAAGAGTGATATGGAGGCACTGGAGGGAGGGTTGTAATCTGACTTTAAAGATCAGATAGACTTTAGATCAGGAGACCACAAACTGCAAAAAGAAGAAATAGCACTGAGAGGGGATGGGGGAGGCCCTTACAGCTGTCCAGAGAGGGGTGACAATGGCTTGGGTTAGTGGGGTGGCTGTGGGTGAGAAGTGGTCATGTTTAAGCTGTGTTTTGATGGGAGAACAAACAGGACACGCTGGCAGAGTAAAAGTCTACAAGGTCGAGTCTGTTAAATGTCCACTCCCCCACTCTTGTTCTAAAGGACTATCAGTTAATTCCATGGAGCACCAATGCTTTAATCCCCGAGGAAAGCAAACCCTTTATCCCTGCAGTAATAGTCCCTTGTAGGGGCTTTGCGGAATTCTCCAGGGGATAATCGTAACTTACCATCATTTATTGAGCAAATTATGTGTGCTAGTATGATATAGATACATGCATGGATATGTATAATGCATGTATAATGTGTATGTATATACACATATACATGCATATATAGTTTATCACGGCAGCTCAACGAGGTGTCATGCCCATTTTGGAAAGTGAAAAACAACATACTCAGGGTTCAGAAACATTTAGTAGCTTGCCCACAGTCACACAGGAGTCCATCTAATGCCAAAACCCTTCCTCAGGGTCACACTGCGTCCACACAGTCCTTTTTCTTTGCCCTTGGAACTTTTGACCTTCTGACTCCAGATGGAATTCCACCTTCCCCAGTATGCTATCTTGCTCTTATAAAACTAGTATTTGTGAGTTGGATGACAAAGTTGTTACTATTTGGAAGAGACCAAAGGGCACTGAATGGTTCTCTAGTTGTTGTTCCACTGGAAGTTTATTTAACTTGGCTTGTCCCCTTCAGGCAGCAGGCATATGTTTAGTTGTGTGTGCTGGGAGTACTGGTGTAGTTGTGGAGATAGAGGTAGCAGATGTCAGGTCAGGAAGCATGTTGTGTATTAAGGGAAGACAGAGTTAAACAGGCCAAGTGTGTTATAGGTTAATTCACCAAACGTGTTTTTGCTGAGTTAGTGGCTGAAAATCAATTAATATTCTAGTCCCTGAAAACCACCAGACAGGTTGAAATAGTTGTTTTAGACAGAGTCCAAGTGGAAAGCTCCCAGCTATCCCCTACCCAAATGCCCAAAGGGTGTGTGAGGGATTGTGTGTGTGTGTGCGCGCGTGTGTGTATGTATAAAGGGGTAGGTGGAAGCTGGGACTCGCTAGCAGGAAGATATGCCCCCTCCACCATGCCAGGACCCACCACCACGCATTCTCTTAGCAAATCTGGGGACACATTTCCATCTCAGTTCCTGATGAGTATGGGACACAACCACG